ATTAATAGAGGACTATAAGTTATTTTGTAGTTGTTAAAGTCTAATTCAAGTTGTAATGCTAAGAAGATCAGATTTGTTATTTGTTGAAGATAATTAGAGATATGATGCTAAAGTTGAATGTTCTATATATTGTAAATATTATATAAATATAGAGTAAGCATTGTGCTACTTGATATAGATCTAGAAAAATAAGGCTTGTGTTTTGCTACAGTAAGGTATTTGAATAAAATTTTGTTATATGTAGTGTAAGAAAGAATAGTATTATGTAATCAATATTTTAAAGTTGAAATAATTACTGTATTGATAATATAAGCAATTTGTTTGTTATTAATTTTTTTTGTACTAGTGATATTAATAAGATTATAAATCTCTTTTTTTATTAGTCTAATAACTTGGAATTGTTTGTTATTAAGTGTAAACCAATATCCAAGAAACTTGAAAGGTTGATTTTTAGAAATAGAATAAATTAAAGATCCAGAAAACTATATAGAAGTAATAGAGAAGTTTGTGGCTAGAATAAACTTTGTTAAATTAATTTGGATATTGGCCATTTGATAGAAGGATATGACAGTTTTAGTTATTAGATTAAGCTTCTTTTTGGACTTTGCAATCAAGAGAGTATTATCTATATAAGCTAAACCTAATATAGATGTTTTTAAAGTTTGGGTTTAAGATAAGTGTAAGTTGGTTTTCCAAGATGCAGATAAAGAATAACTAGAGAATTGTAAGGCAATTTTATGAATTAGAAGATTATAATAGATTTTTCAGAATAATAGAGTTATAGTTTCTTCTTAATCTATACTATTTTAAACTAAATAAAAATTGGTAAGACCAAGATTAGATATAATGCAATTTTGGTAATCAGTAAAAAAGTTGATAAGTATATTAATAAGAGTTTGAGCCATTGATATCCATTTAAAAGATTTTGTAAAAAGTTCTAAATTGACAGAATCATGTGCTTTGCTTATGTCCTAAGACAGAAGCCATAATTGTTTGTTATTACAACTAGTATCTTTGATAAAATTGTTAAGTATATGTATGAGAATAGAGATGCTATTGTTAGGTAAAGCAATATAGTTGTAAGAAGATAGAATAAAATATTATATAAGTATTAAATTAAAATAATTAGTAAGAAGTTTTGTGTATAGTTTCTTAATATGTTCAATAAGGCTAATAGATCTTGTTTTAGAAAGGTTTTTATTAAAGATAGGTTTTTTAGATATTAGAAAAATGTGACCTTCTTTTCATTGCTTAGGCATATAAAAAGTTTGGATGCATCAATTAAAAAGAGCAACTATTGCTTAAGAAAAGTGGAACCAGCATATTAAGCATTTTACAACTAATTTCAGATAGTCCACATGCATTATTATTAGGAAGTTAGTTAAAAGTTCTAGTAATTTAGTTAAGTAAAAACTTAGCCAAGACTGAATTATAATAGTCTAAACTAGTGGTAGCTTTTGGTTCATATTCCTCTGACCAGTTGATATTAAATTCATAATTATTAATAGGTCTATAGGCAGTTTAGTTGTTAAAATGATGTTAAATATGTTCTTTAATTAGTTTGGAATCTGTGATGGTATTATTTGGTGTTTTTATATTATTGAATTTTATTGGATCCTTGTAACAGTTGAGTATGTTGTAAATTATAAGTTTGAGATTAGTTTGAAGTTTAGAGCATCTAAGATTGATATGCTGATTTATTTGTTTTCAGATTTGTTTAATGTTTTCTATGTTTTGGACATGGTAAAGAGCTTGCTATTCAGTGTTAGTATTAGTGATCTAGCTTGGTATAAGCTTATAAGAGTTAGGTATAGGAGATATATAAAGATGATATATTGAGTTAAGATAGTGTATAGTAGGATTGAGATGTATAAATATAAGTAATAAGTTAGTTAAAGAAGCTTTAATTTGTCTAATAATGTTATTGAGTTTTTTAAGATTTAGATGAAGTAAAGTAACTTTAGCTAAAAATATATATTAAAAGTTGCGAATTGTTATTTTTTTGTTAGAAATGCATTTAGTAGCAGTATTAATAATACTAGTTATATGGTAATAGAAGCATTGTATTTATGCAATAGGATTGAAATTAGAAAGTTTAAATAGAGGCTTTATAGGTGAATCTTAGATATAACAGCTAGTAGATAACCCTTGAATAGAACTCTTAATTAGATAATAACTAAAGTTATACATGTGACTAGATGTACTTTTGTTAATAAACTTTGTATATAATTATATAATGATATATTACCCAATAAAGACAAACAGGCAAGATTGCTGCTTTAAAAAAATAATAATAATAATAATAATAATAAACTAGTTTGAATTTTATAATAAGAAGTTTTGAAAGATTTAGAAGTTTGAGTAAAAAGAAGTATTTTGTTTATTTTGAGGTTAAAAGAAACTTGGTTAGCAAAGATTTCTTATTGCTTTTTGTTCATTGCTTTATAGTTAAAAGGTCTGCATTTGGTTCTAGTTGAATGTTTGTTTTTAGCTATAAGGGCATGAGAAAATGTTCAAGAAGATATAAGAATTTTGTAATCACTTTAAGTGCAGTTTTCTGTATGTTCAAGTAAAATGAATTGAGATATTTGAGTAAAGAAAAGTAAACCCAAATATAGTCAATAGTACTGTAGTATCTACTGTTATGTCTGATATGAAAGGAGGTATTTGTATAATCTGCTAGATCATAAATATTATTATATTATAAAAATTACAATAGTTTGTATTTGATAAATGAGAAGGTAGAGTTGTTAGATAATACATTAAAGTCACCTAGTATTATAGGTAAAATGTTTCAGTTAGTGGCTTCTTGAATCTATTAAATAATAGTATTTTGAATTTGAAGTCTTAATTGTGAGTTTTTATATGATAGGTATATAGAGATAATTCAGAATTTCTAATTATATTTGAAGAAGATGTTTATAGCAATAGTATAGTTAAGAAAAGTAAAAATATTGTGTATATAGAGTGTAAAATATTTATGAATCATAATGCAGTTCTTGCTGTAAAACTATTAGTACATGACCAGTAATAGGAGTAGTGTTTTGAGTTATGAAATTTGGTAATAGCATTATCTTCTGCTATTTTAATTTCTGTAATACTGATAATGTTTAAGAAATAAGTAATACAATAATCCTTTCAGACTTGCTATTTAAGATTTTCATTGTATTCTTGAACATTGTAGGTGCAGATTGTAAGATTTAGAGATGAGGTATTAGGGTTTCTAAGTTGCATTAAATTACTAGAGATAAGAGCTAAAGGTGCTAGTATAGAGAAGACTGGTCTTGATGTGTTTAATTTTAGTTAAATGTTTAGATAATGCCAGATAGCTTGAATTGATAGAATAAAGTAATTAGATAATGGTTTAGCTTCTGATAAAAGATAAATATAAGCTTTACTATGATCATTTTTATAAAAATAGTTAATATATAGCCACAAGCATTATCAGGTAAATAGCCAAAGCTGTAGATATGTTATTAAAAAAAAATAATAGTTTGTGAATAAGAAAGCAGTAATAGATGGTTATAAAATAGAAATTTATTGTAGCAGGCATTAAGTTGAATGTTGTTATAGTATTGTTTAGCTATAGTATTTTTATTATGACTTTCTAAAATAGTTTTTGTTACAGTTATATGGCAAATTACCCAAGTTCAAGACCCAAGCCTGACTCAAGCCTGTGACTCAAGATGACTCAAGCCTGTAATCCAAGCCCATGATCTAAGCTCAACTCAAGTCTTTGAATCAAGATGATTCAAGTCCATAACTCAAGCTCAACTCAAGCCATGACCTTAGTCCGAGACTCAAGTCAGTAACTCAAACCCAAAACTTAGATTTGTTATAATCTAAGACCTTATACATATAATAAATAAGTGAATAAAATTAGCAATTAGTAATATCAATAAACAGTGCATTAAGTATGTAGTCATAGTTCTGTAATATCTAAGTAGTCTTATGAAAATGATTAATAATTAGTAATATTGAAATTACAAAATAAAAGAGAAGAAAAATATGTACTTAGCTCTTTAGTTTGTTCAATAAACAAATCTCTAGTATCTGGTGCTTAATATCTTGTTATCTGGCATTGCATTCTTGAAACTTGCATTGTGTTTTCATTATGATGGCCTAGTTTGATCAATCTTGTGTTGTTACAGTTTGAACAGACTAAAACCCTAAGATCCACATCTATTACAAATTATACATCTTAAATTCAAAGCTCAAACAAATCTGTTATTAATAATATCTACTATTAATAATTAATAAAAAAAAAAAATCTTAACTAACTAACTATAGCAATAAAATGAAAGAACAATCAGACATTAATAGCATCCTTATTGTGTTGCAAAAATCTAGCAAGAAAACCAATTGTTGAGACAAGAAAATATAGATGTTCATAACAAACTTAACCAACTAATACAAAGATCTCACAACCAAACAAAAGAGCTCAAAGTTAGCCTGCCTAACAAGTTCAATAGGACCTATTCCAAATTTAGAAAGTTCTTAAACTAAATATGACTTACTATTCATCTACAGCCTAGCTATTACTCTAGTGATAAAACACAGATGGGGTTGCTTGACAATCTACTTGTAGGCTCAGTTCTGGCATGGTTTTCCCACTCCTTAGAAAAAATTAGTACTGCTGAATAATTTTGATAGTTCTATTAGAGAGTTCAAAGCTACCTTTGGTGACTTTGACAAGATCAGAACAGCAGCCAACAGAATCAGAAAACTCATCTAAGAGTCTAAATTAGCTTCAAGTTATGCTTCAAAATTCCATTAGAATTTTAACAATCTGGATTGGAAAGAAGTAGCATTAATCTACCAATTCCAAACAGGACTTAGAAATGATATAAAAAACCTATTACTCACTATGAAGAACTCTACAACATTAAACAATATGAGATCTAAGGCAGTACACTGTAACAACAGATTATTTGAGCGATTTCATAAATGGCAAGACCACACTATAGGTCAAAGTGATATAGTACTCAACTATACTAGGCTCAGTCTATCCTTAGAGCCAATGCAGATTGATTCAACAAGAACACAAACTCTTTTTGAAGAAGAATAGCAAAGATAATAGACCAATAACCTTTGCCTATACTGACATGAACCTGGTCATATTGCTAAAAATTGTTTAAGAAAGAGCATTACTAAGCATAAGATTATTGCTACAGAAACAAATTTGAAAAGTTCAAAAAAAAAGAAGCACCAACTGCAATAAAAGGTTTGCAGTTGAATAGAACTTATAACAAAAACCCTAAAAATTTGACTCTCTACACCCTAATGAACATTCTTGTTATAATAGTCTCTATACAGCTTCTAGACAAGTTCATGTTTTTTGTTAACACATTAATAGATTCTGGTGCTTCAGTGTACTTTACTTTCTTGATTATATATTAGTGCACCAATACAACTTACTTATCAATAAAAAGAAAACACTACTATCAGTAGAAGTAATAGATGGCTGAGAAATATTGTCAGGATAGTCATTATAAGACCAAGCCATTGAAGATGAGGTATCAGAACTATTGTGAGAAAATCATATTCAACCTGATTCAAACACTGCATTATTAAGCTATTTTGAAATTATTATAATTGGCTTATCACAATTCTAACATTAATTGGTATAAGCATACACTAAAATTTCCAGATGCAGGTTGTATTCCTCACATTCAGCACCTATCTCTAGCACTAACAACAACCCATATCTGTATGTTAAAAAAAGTTTTCTTGGCTCAAATCTTCCATATAGTGTTTGTAAACAAGGGTTTTAAAATAGCCACCTTGATATTTCTAGTAAAATATAATAACTTCAGTGATGTATTTGGTAAGAAGAAGGCAAATAGGTTGCCAAAATATAGGCTGTATGACTGTGCAATAGACCTAGTACTTGGAAAACAGCCTCTATAAGGGCCTATATACAAACTTTCAGAGTTAGAGCTAGAAACATTAAAAAAGTATATAGAAAAGAATTTGGATAAAAGATATATCAGGCACTTCAGATCTCCCACTAGGGCCCCTATATTCAAGAAAAAGGATTGTTTTCTAAGGCTATGTGTAGACTATCATGAATTAAACCAAGCTACTATAAAAAATTAATATCCACTCTCTCTTATTTCAAAGTTGTTATAACATCTATCCTTGGCCAGAATCTTCACCAAAATAGACCTAAGGAGCACCTATAATTTAGTTAGAATTAAACCAGACAACAAATAGAAAACTACATTTCATACCTATTATGGTTTTTTTGAATATCTGGTAATGCCCTTTGAGTTTACCAACATTTCAACAGTCTTTTAACATCTGATGAATGATGTGTTCAGAGATTTATTAGATAGATTCTTTATTGTATATTTGAACAATGTTCTAGTATACTCAGCAAACCTTAAAGAGCATATCTACTATGTAAAACTAGTCTTGAACCAACTTTGCCAATTTGGCCTATATGCAAAGCTAAAGAAGTGTGAGTTTAATAAGAATTGCATTGAATTTTTAGGGTGTACTATTAGGTCTAAGAGAATAAAAATGAACAAAAAAAAGGTAGAAAATCTACTTGCTTGGCCCATATCTACAACACTTAAAAGAATATAGCAGTTTTTTGAATTTGCGAACTACTACTGTCATTTTATAAACAACTATTCTCAAGTGGCCACATCCTTTACAAATTTAACTTGGAAGTCAAACAAGAGCTTCAAATAGACCAATGAAATATAATTAGCTTTTGAGAAGTTGAAAAAGGCTTTTACATTAGCCCTAATTCTTATATACACAGATTTTACAAAACATTTTTTTTGAAAACCAATGCATTAAACTATGTATTTGGAGCCATACTGTCTTAACTTCAAGAGAATAGTTATTTATACCCAGTTATATATTACTTCTAAAAGTTTTTATTTGCAGAATTAAACTATGATGTTCATAACATAAAGCTTCTAGCCATCATAATGGTATTAAAACAATAGCAGCATTATCTAAAAGAGGCTAACACAAAATTACTATCTATTGTAATCATAAAAACCTCCAATACTTTACTACTGTCTGGCTTTTTAACTACTGTCAGGCCTGTTAGTTATTATACATGTCTAACTATAACTTTGAAATCATGTTTTGTCCAAAAAAAGATCAAGACAAATCAGATGCACTGTCTCAAGAACTAACTATAAGCCTTCTTATGAAGAACCTACCTTCTACCAAATGATATTATTAGAAAAAGAGAGATTATACATAAATGCTGTCTCAACAGCACTAATGGATTATGCATTTCAGCAACATGTTAAATCCTAATTAAAAATGAACCCTCTTGCCTTGAACATAATTAGTTATTTAAATGATAATACCACTTGCAATAGCTCCTGATTCAACTACTACAAGTTTTTACAGAAAAATAATTTACTATATAGAGATGGACTGTTATACATACCTAGTACAGCAGAGAAACTTGAGATATTGCAGGCTCAGCATGACTTTAAGCAAGCTAGGCATTTTGGAATTACCAAAACTATCAAACTAGTAACCAGAAATTATTGGTAGCCTAATTTTTAATCTTTTGTATAAAACTACATTAGAATATTTGACATATATGCTAGATTAAAGGTGCCAAGATATTGTTCTTATGGAATGCTAATGTCCTTGCCCATTCCATCACACTAATATCAATTTATATCTATGGATTTTATAACTGACTTATCTATATTCTTTGGTTTTGACTCTATTTTAGTAATGGTGGATCATTTAACAAAGATGGCTCATTTCATTACCTGTTATAAAAACATTATTACTAAACAAACTGTCCAATTAGTAATATAAGAAGTAGTCTATCTACATGGGATATTTGAAGAAATTGTATCTGACAGAGGTTTACAATTCACTTTCTGGTTCTGAAAACATCTCTTTAACCTTCTAGAAGCAAAAATCAATTTATTATCAGTATACTATTTACAGACAGATAGGCAGAGTGAAAGGGTTAACCAAGTACTGAAACAATATCTTAGGTGCACTATTAATTACCATCAGGATGATTGGGCTGATCTTCTACCCTTAGCTGAATTTTTATACAATAACTCTGTACACTCATCAACAAAAACTACACTATTTCTGGCCAATTACAGATTTTGACTATAATTTGATATTCAAGTGCCTTTATGACTAACTGTACCATCTGCTGAGAATTTGGCAACTCAATTACTACAAATTAAGAAAGAACTCATACAGAAATTGAGAAATGCACAAAAATAATATAAATGAAATGCTAATCAATAATATCAAGAGCCACCTGTGTTCAAGATCAATAACCAAGTTTGGTTAATAAGAAGAAACATCTGTACACAATGCTCATTAGAGAAATTGAATTATTAAAAATTAGGACTTTATAAGATCATAATTCAAATTAACCCTGTAGCATATCATTTAGACTTGCCTTTTTTACTTAAAATTTATAACATGTTTCACATATCCTTCTTGAAACCATATATGGCTAATGACATCTCTAAAAGATACAAAGAGCCCCCTTCAGTGATAGTAAATGGTAAAATAGAATATGAGATTGAGAAAATACTTGACCCTAAACTAATTCAGAAGAAACTATATTATTTAATTGAATAGAAGGACTGTGACTTAAGCAAATGTTCATAAGAACCTGTAAAAAACATTATGCATGCTGAAGAAGCTATAAAATTTTTTACCAATTATACCCCCACAAGCCAAAGAAAAGAACAACTACACTAAAACTGAAGCAGTAAAGAAGAAGATGATGAAGCATTAAGGAGGAAATAATGTTATAGTTATATGGCTAAGCCACCCAAGTCTGTGACCTAAGCCTAATTCAAGCTTATGACTCAAGACAACTCAAGCCTATGACCCAAGCCTAACTCAAGCCCATGGCTTAAAACAACTCAAGTCTGTGACCCAAGCCTGACTCAAGCCATGACTCTAGCCTAAGATCCAAGTCAGTAACTCAAGCCTAAAACTTGAATCTGTTATGAATCTAAGACCTTATGTGCATAATAAATAAGTGAATAAAATTAGCAATTAGTAATATCAATAAACAGTACATTAAGTATGTAGTCATAGTTTCATAATATTTAAGTAGTTTTACAAAAATGATTAGTAATTAGTAATAGAAAAATTACAAAATAAAAAAAAAGAAAAATGTGTACTTAGCTCTTTAGTCTGTTCAATAAACAAATCTCCAGTATCCAGTACTTAATATCTTGTTATTTGGCATTGCATTCTTGAATCTTGCATTGTGTTTCTGTTATGACATGCCTAATTTGATTGATCTTGTATTATACAGTTTCTACTAGTTAAAATTAAGAGTAGTCTATTTTATTTTTTTTTATAATTGAATTAGTATTTGGTATACTATTGTTTATTAGAAAAAATTTAGAAAAGATAAATATTGATGGATAATAAGTATAGCCTGATAATTGTAAAAAAAAATATTTAGGTGAAGATTAAAATTTGTGTAATAAATATATACAGCATTCACTATAATCAATTTTGATTAATATTGTAAGTGTATAGTTGAAATTGTTTAGTTGTGAATAGTTGTAATGATGGATGTGTTTTAAAAAGAAGCTAAGTGTTTGAGAATATAAAAGTAGAGGTAGGTTTAAACATGCTAACCACAGGTTATAGCATAAGTCTGGATTATATAATATATTGTAAGATGAGTCTTGTAGTTCTTCTTTAATATAAGATAATAAAATAGAGTTCAAGAAAGTAGAAAGTTCTTCTGTAAATCCACTCACTATATGCTTGGCTTGCACAGTTGCACAGGATACCATAGCCTGTTTTATACATTGTGTCTGGTCATCATTAACCTAGTTCTCCACATATATTAAAAAATTTCAATCAGTGTAATTAATATATGTCTCTATATAAATTTGCTAATATGTGATGCACTTAGGAGTGATTAGTTAAATCATTTTTTGTACTTAGTTACATCTTTATTCTGTTTAGTCTGTTCAAAATTTGGTAGAAGACATCTTTTATTGGTATTGTTTTTATTTAATTTTGCAAAACTGCTTTGATCTTATTTTTTTTTAAACTTTTTTCTTTTTTTTATATTAGTGTTTCTGTCTTCTAACTATTTTTTTATATTTTGCATCTAAGAGTTCAGGTCTATTTTAATATAGCTTTTATTTAGTATTTCTTATTTTATATTTCTGATGTTTAATACATTTTGCCTTTTACTGTCTATTTTTGATCTTTTTTATTTTTTAATTCTTAACTCTTTTCATTCTTATATTTTCTTTCTTTTAGAGTTTTTTTATCTTATTCAATGATTATTATACCATATCAGTGTTGTTTGAATTTATTTTGCTGCTTGAGCATTTGCAAAAATGATTATTATAAATTTTTTTTAATTACTATTTCTGTTATACAAAATATATACTACTTTTGCACTCTTGTTTTTTAGACACTATAGCAGGAGCACTTCTAAAACTTCTTTTAGAATATTTAGCAATTTAGCTTGTGTTGTCTTTGTTTATTTTTTTAATAATA